CTTCATGTTCAAGAGATGCCTTTAATGACAGCAAGGGGTGACATTAGTGGGGAATGGAAGCATTCTGAAGTTTTTCTGCATACCTTTCCTTCCATTAATTTTGTGCTGTTTATTTTTTTTTATTCGATCTATGTGGATGGGCCAAAATCTTTTCTGACCTGATTTGTTTATAATGCACAATTGGACCTATACCTCTGCTTCCTCTAAAGCGGCCTGAAGTTCACACTTCTCTTGTTCCACTTGTTTCTTTATCTTCTCCAGTTCATGGATGCGTTTCCCTCCTTCTGCAATCTGCTCCGTGAGGTCAGAAATCTCCTCTGTTGTTTGGGTAAAAGACAAGTAGAGATTTGATCAGACAGAGGAGCTAAGGGAACCATTCCCAAGGCATGAATATTATTGCAAGGGAAAGGGCCTCACGCTGCAAGTTTTTGTTCTCTCGTTTCAAAGTTTCCAGCTGATCCAAGGATTCCTCGTAGGCATTCTTCATCTTGAACAGCTCAGTGCCGAGAGAGCGGGCCTCCTTCTGAGAGGCCTCAAGCTCAGCATGGGTTTCCTCATACTTCTGTTTCCACTCTGCCAGGATCTGAAAAACCGAGAGGGGTTACCTGCTGTGAAGGACAGAGGAAGACAGTGGAGAGCAGAGGCTGCTGAACGAGTTACCTTGTCGAAGTTCCTCTGCTTCTTGTCCAGGGCGGCGCAGGCCGCGTTGGTTCTCTCCACATCCAGCATGAGGTCCTCCACCTCATTCTGGAGCCGCTGCTTTGTCTTCTCAAGGGAAGCGCATTTGGCGTTCACGGCTTCTACGTGCTCCTCGGCCGCCTGCAGCCTCTGGGCCAGCTTCTTCCTTGAAGATTATATATGTTTGTAGAGAGGAGTGAACCAGAACAAGAATTAGGAGCTATTGCCATGCTGAGAAGTATTGGAAACTTCATATGAAAAATATCCATTCATCCATTCAACAGACACTGATGAGCTCCTTTAATGAACCAGACACTGGATACACAGCAGTGAGCAAGGCAGAAAAAAGGGCCCTGACTCATGAAGCTTCCAAATGAGGACAAGAGAGAAATAATAGGCTGGTGAGAAAATGCATAATAACATATTGCAGATATAAATGCAATGGAAGAAAAGTGAAATAGAGTAAGGGGTGCGCAGCTATTCTAGATATTCAGGAAAGGCCTCTCCGAGGAGGTAGCATTTGCGTCAAATCAAAAAGTCAGAGTGAGCCGGAGGGAGATCTCAGGGAGAGTATTCCAGATGGAGGGACCAGCAAGTGCAGAGCCTTGAAGCAGCAATGAGCTTGTTGTGCCTGACAAACAGCAGTAAGGCTTAGCTATCTGGATAATTATTTGTTACTCACTTCCTTAAGTAGATTTCAGCATAGGAAGGCAGGTATCATGTTTGTTTTACTCATGTCTTATTCCCAGGGCCTGATAGTGCCTGGCCAAGAGGAGCTAATTAATGAACGTCTATAGGCTAATTCACTGAAGGTTGTTACCTTTCTGATTCAACATGCAAAGTTTTCTGCACATTCTCTCATATCTGCACACGTACTTGGCCTCCTCCAGCTCCTCCGTGCGCTGGATGGCGTCCGTCTCGTATTTGGTCCTCCACTGGGCCACCTCGCTGTTGGCCTTGGACAGCGCCCTCTGCATCTCGGCCTTGGATTCCTGCTCCTCCTCATACTGTTCCCGCAGCAGGTCACAGTCGTGGCGGGAGGACTGCAGGGCGTGGGCCAGGGCGTTCTTGGCCTGTGGAGATAGTTACACCTTCATTTTACTGCATATGTTTAATTACTGAGTTTCAAAACCCTTTGAAAGTTGGTGTAAATGGACTCCAGTTAGGGTTAGGTCATACAAAAAACAGTGAGTCTGACAATATTATTATTTACCTTTATCTCTTCTTCCAGCTGCCTCTTTAATTCCTCAATCTGTTGTGTAAATGCTTGTTTGCCCCTTGATAGCTGAGACACCAGAGCTTCTTTCTCATCTAGCTGTCGTGAAAATTCACCTGAGAGATGAAAGAAATGGCACCGTTTTTTAAAGTGAAGAAACAATTTTGCAAGCCCAAAGTAGAAATAAGTTTTAACCTTAACTCTCCTCCACTGAGTACTCAAAAGATTGAATTCTCTATTGCTGTCTTCAAGCTTAATGTCAAATTTCTGATTTTTATGGTAAAACTTACATATGAATCTGAATGAATAAATACAGCTGAAATCCTTTTTGTTCTCTCCATAACTAATTCTTTCTGGGTGTATGATTGTGTGCAAAACCTGGTTATGGGAGCCAGGGTACTGAATTCTACATTGGTCTTTTGAGGTTCATCGATCTTTTGAGAGACAGGGTTATCCATTCCCCTTTCAGGTATTTGGTTCATTTGACGTATAGAGACAGAAGCTCGGTCTGCAACAGGAGTCCTGGACCCAGCTAGAGTGACTCCTAATCCCAAGCATCCTTTCAGCATGGCCAACTACTCCAGGCTTTTCTGGAGCAGAGCTTGAGCCAGTCCTATCGAAGCCTTTATCTCCAACTTTGTTCCCAGGTGACCTTGCAAGGTAGTTGAAAGTCTGAGCTGTTCAGTAAATCACACGTGTTCTTAGCTGTGTTTATTAGGCTCTCACATTACCAAATCCGTTGTTTTCAACCACATCCTCTCCATTCTTAGTGCCCAGAAGAGGACAGTTACCAGATTCGGTCTGCAAGCGTCCTCTCTGGGTCGTCAGGTCATTGATCAGCCGCTGTTGTTCCTCCTCCTTTGATTTCAGCTCACTCACTTGGTCCTCCAGAGTGCGGCACATTTTCTCTAGATTTCCCTGTGTGAGAAAAAATAAAAGAAGGAAACAAAGATATTTTAATATAATTTTAAAAATAAATAAATATTAATAAATACTTTTGGCATAAAATCAAATTCTCTTATATGTAATTGTGATACATAAAAATTTTTTTCTTTATATTTTGATTGCTGTCCTCTGTTGAAAATACATGTGGGGATTTTTAAAGAGCTAACTGTGAAGTTCCGTGCCCTATTAATACAAAAAAAAAAAATTAAAGACGATGTTCTAAAATTTAAGATGTAAGTATTGTATGGTATATCTTTCTAAAAGCATGTTTATAGATATTTGATTGCCTTTCTGTACAGTGAAACTTGCCTTATTGGATAATTGAGAATATTGGAGACCTAGTTCTCCAACTGGAGCCTGAGAGAATGCAGGTGGCCTTTGTTCAAAAGCTGGTCCTGGGGTGCCTGGGTGGCTCAGTCCATTAAGCATCTGCCTTCAGCTCAGGTCATGATCTCAGGGTCCTGGGATTGAGTTCCACATTGGGTTCCCTGCTCAGCGGGAAGCCTGCTTCTCCCTCTCACTGTTCCCTCTGAGCTCTCCCTCTCTCTCTCTCTCTCTCTCAAATAAATAAATAAAATCTTTAAAAAAAAAAAAGAAGCTGGTCTTGTCATTTGTTCATGGTGTGATGGGGCCAGTGCACTTAACTTCTTTGTATTTCAGTTTCTTCATATGTTAAGTGGAAATAATACAAATGCTAGTATCTTTCTTATCTCCTAGATTATTGTAAAAAAAGCAAATGACATAATGTGTGTAAAGTACCCTGTGCAAATTATGATGTGTACATAAGGGATCATTGTCACTAATAACAATTTTCCAGGCTCTGGTACCTTGGCTTTGGAGACTGTTTCTACATTACTGGTGAGGTCATCGATCTCCATCTTCATCTCGCTCTTCTCCTTCTCCAGCTTCTGCTTGACCCTCTGCAGGTTGTC